TGTATATATGTGTGTATATATATATGTATATTTGTGTGTGTGTATATATATGTGTGTGTGTTTATTTATGTATATATACGTATGGTAGAAAAACCCTAAATGCAAAAACTAGATTTATTGAAACTGAGACTACAGTATCGAAATCCACCTGGATTCCATTTCCTTGCCTGATGTCTCTCTCCTTCGTGGTGCTTTCATCCCGGCACTCGAATATCTTCTCCATCCTAATCCTTCCATTTCCAGGCGTCAACGTGAGGCCCTTCAAAGCCTGCGCAAGGAGGATGTCACCATTTTGCCTTCTGACAAGGTCAACTCGGCGGTAGTCCTCGACCATGCCTCCTACCTGCAGAAGGCCCGAGACCTATTAGCTGACGCTTCTACCTTTGTACCCCTGACCAGCGACTCCCGTGAACGCATTGCTGTTACTTCCCACCGTCTCCTGAAGAAGGTAGCAGCCTGTTTTCCGGAGGGGAATCTCTACCAGAGGTTCAAGGTCATCAACCCTCGACTCCCTCATTTCTATGGGCTTCCTAAAACCCATAAGCTGGCCGTGCCTCTGCGCTCCATTATCTCCCGGGGATCTGCGACGGACCTTCTTGCGGCTTGGCTGGCGAAGTCTCTCCCTCCTCTTCTTGGCACCTTCTCCGCTGCTCACCTCCGCCACTCTCAGGACTTCATCTCCCGTGTCTGTGGCGTCTCGCCGGCGATCACGATGAGCTTGGACGTCGACTCCCTGTTCACCAAGGTCCCGCTTGATGACGTCCTCGCTTTCCTTCAGAGGAAGCGCCCCGCAGAGGATCCTCGTCTCCCTCTGCCCACCGACGTCTTCCTCTAGCTGATTAATTTTCTCTTGAGGGTCGCTTCTACTCTCAGACATTCGGTGTTGCCATGGGGTCTCCCCTCTCTCCAGTCTTGGCAAACATCTTCATGGAATTCTTCGAATCTGAGCTTCTCCCTTCCATCTCCCTTCGTTCGTCGGTTTGGCTGAGGTATGTCGACGACGTCTTTGCTCTCTGGCCTCATGACCCTGACCTGTTCTCGGATTTCCTGACACAGCTGAACTCTCTCCCTCTATCCGTTTCAAGGTGGAATGGGAGGTTGACAACAAGATCCCCTTCTTCAACACCATAGTTTACCGTTCTACTGACCACTTCTCCTTCTCCATATACAGGAAACCTATAGTGGTATGTACATACATTTCTTTTCATACCATCCTCTCCATGTAAAAAGAGGAGTTGCCACCTTGCTGTTCCTCCGTTCCCACCGCGTCTGTGATCCCCAATACCTAGATGGAGAGATCGACTTCCTCCGTCGTTTGTTCTCGAAACTTGGCTACTATCGTCATGTTTTCGACGTCACGCTATCCAGGGCACAGCGTATCTTCCACCACGACTCCTGTCCTAAAGAGACTCTTCACCTGCCCGTCCACAACCTGCCCTACACTTAGGAGATCTATACTCTCCGTCGGCCTCTTCATCTTCTCAAGTGCAGCTTGATCTTTCGCCAGGTGAACACTCTCCGTCGCAACCTGGTCCACACCAAACCTCCCTCTACCTCGAAGGAGGGCATCCATGCTGTCCCTTATGCCTCCTGTGACTTTTGCGAGACGGGTGCCAGTCTGACTAAGCGTCTGTCTTAACACAAGTACGCTATATCCAGGGGACACAACAACAACACCTTCTTTTGCCATCAGTGGAACAGAGGCCATCGAATGGACTGGTGGCGCAAATTGTCGTTCCTTCCGCTGATGTCCGCAGACTGGTGGAATCCTAGTTAACAAAGCTGCTGCCTAATTTCAACTTGAACAGCGGCTTCTCCATTATGTCGGCCACAATGCGCATCAGTCTGCCCTTTCCTCCGACCTGATCTGACCTCCCTTCGCTTCCGTTCGTCTGTCCTGACCTACCCCGTGTTACCGCGTTGTCACTCTTAACCCATTCACGCCGGGTGTCACGTATACGTGACGGGCCCACTGTGAGTTTACTTGTTTAATTGTTTTCACACATAGATGGCTACACTTGTACTTGTACTTCCTGTCTCGCCTGTTTACCCTTTTCTTTAATTTACGAAAATATTATAAGTTATCTTATTTTGCTGTTACTAACAGTATAGTAATTATAATGTTTATAATAAAAATAACCATCGATATTCATTGTACTAGTAAAAATACATTTTCCCGCCAAATGAAATCAGGTAAGGCAGAGCCATCTAGTGTAGAGAAATTTCACAAAAAGTTAAAAAAATGAGCACGGCATTTTCCCCCATTTTTTATTCATTTTTACCCGGCGCGATTGGGTTAACTCTCCTTTTTATACTCCCTCCTCTCCCTTTCCTATTCAGACCTGAAGATGGAATCCAGGTGGATATCGAGACTGTAGTCTCATTTTCAATAAATCTAGTTTTTGCATTGTGGGTTTTTCTACCATAGTATCTACACGGAAGAGTGTTTTACCATTCACACACACACACACACACACACACACACACACACACACACACACACACACACACACACACACACACACATACACATATATATATATATATATATATATATATATATATATATATATACACACATATATATACACATACATTTCTTTATGTATGTATATATGCATTTATATATATATATATATATATATATATATATATATATATATATAGTAAGAATTACAGAATTACAGTAAGACAGGAAGCATATGTTTTTTTTCTGGTATGTGAGGCGAGAGAGAGAGAGAGAGAGAGAGAGAGAGAGAGAGAGAGAGAGAGAGAGAGAGAGAGAGAGAGAGAGAGAGAGAGAGAGAGAGAGAGACGGATTGTAACGGGCACATACCGGTAAATCATAGCTTTGATAATATAGTCTATTTCCTCTCTTGTAAAGGGACAATAAATCTTAGGGCTAGATGCACGGGTTCATAATAGCAAAGTAAGATGTAACATTAACAGTTTGTATTTTTCAAGGAAGAATTAAGGATCCCTATTGTGTACATTCGGAAAAAAAATATATCGTTACCTTTACTTGCGTCCAATGAGGAACTGAATGCTTTTTAATGTTAAAACCTGATCATGGTGCTAACTGCCTTGCCTCGCTATTCCACACCGCTTCGTCTGTTTTCCATATTAGCTTGTGCAAAAGGTAACGATGCTTATTTTTCTAACTACATAATAAGCTCTAGTATCAGTCGCTCACATGTTAAGGACAGCTGCTAAACTTGTTTGACGGGATATATATAGCGAGATAACTAAAGTGAACATATTCATAGGTCTATGAATAGCTATTTAACAGCAATAGGGAATAGATTAGTAACATTTATTGATTTTTTTTTTTTTTTTATAATTTAGTTTGATTCCATTTGTTACAATGGATATTCTTGCTGTGACATACTGTCTGTTTTATTTTGCTTCTAAATTATCCCCTGTGTGCAAGGAATGGCCGGGGTTACCATCCACTGGTGGCGAGGGATTCGAACGCAGGTCAGCAAGATTGCTAGACGAGATCGCTACCGCTGCACCACACAGCACACTAAGCTAAGAGCAGATTCTAGAAACGATTGAGTTTATTATGATACAAAGAATAATCAAAGAATGATTATTGGAACATAAATATGCTAACAATATCAACGAAGTATATAAAAAAGAAACAATTGCTAGTAATAGAAAATTTAATAATATTAATCATATACGAATAAAGATGGGATGGGAATCACAGTGAGTAATGTTAGTATAATGAGGGGCAATAATATGATAGAAAACGGCTGTGTATCTAAAAGGTATATCAACATTGAAGCAATGTAAAGACAATAGGACGTGAGAAGATGATGAGGCGCCAGTAAGCGCGAGGCAGACTTAGTGCAGACGCCCCACAGAGGGATCGGCATGGCGTGGACAGGATGCGGGTCAGTCAGAAGGACTACTTTATAGATATGCGCATTCGCGCACGCACACACACACATATAATATATAAATATAAATATATATATATATATATATATATATATATATATATATATATATATACGTATATATACACATACATATACGTTCATACATACATATATATGTATATATACACATACACACACATACATATACTTACATACATACATATATATGTATATATACACATACACACACATACATATACTTACATACATACATATATATGTATATATACACATACACACACATACATATACTTACATACATACATATATATGTATATATACACATACACACATATATGTATATGTATATATGCATATATGCATATATACGTATATAGACATATATACGCATATACACATATATACGCACCTGTACACAGATACACACAGACGTATATGTATGTATATATGTATATATATGTATATATATTTACATATAAACAAATACATATATATAGAAACTTGCATACACATATAGACACATACACACACACACACATATATATATATAATATATATATATGATATATAATATAATATATATATATATATGATATATAATATAATATATACATACATATATATATATATATATATATATATATATATATATATATATATATATATATATAATGTGTATATATATGCATGCATATATATATATATACATATGTATATAATATATAATATGATATATTTATATATAATGTGTATATATATGCATGCATATATATATACATATATATACATATACATACATATATATATATATATATATATATATATATATATATATATATATATATATATATATATATATATATATATATATACATATATATATATATATATATATATATATATATATATATATATATATATATATATATATATACACTATGTGAACTTTCTCTTACATGAAACACATGTACCATTCCACTACGATTATGGGGCCAAGATCCATAAGGGGCAGTTTCGAAGCTAGCTGTTTGCGCACTTAAGTGGAGGGACTTGATCATTTGGTTCTGGTAATTCAAGTGGAAGTAAAACGTGTTTGCAGAAGTAAATGTAAGTTTATTTATATACATTTCACTTGTTTACATATGATAATATATATGTACTGACTGAAGTATGAAACTATCTTATAGGGTGGTATGCATAATAGTTATTACAGAGAATACAATAATATAGAGGAAACAGTATTCGCAGTTATATATAATAAAACCACTTAGTATTTCTATATAATGCAGATACAACTAAAAGGTATTTGTTACCGAGAATGAGCACCCCTCAGGCTATCTTGTGAACCCAAAATCCAAACCTAACATTTCCTACCTTCTACCCACCTGGACCCTTCCCTTCTTTATTAGCACTTCGCCCCTACTTAAAGAAAACACGGTATTAAGAACCCTGGCTGCGTTAGGGAGTTATAGACTTTTAATCTCTAAGCTGTGATATGCAGCGGATATTTTCATGTCGCGGTAAATATGAGGCTGCTGTAGCTGTACCTGTGATGTTTATTACTCTCTTTTTTATGCTCTATAAGTTAGCAGTGTCCATTTCTCTCCATCAGTGCGTCGCTCTCGGTAACATTAACCAAGAGAAAATCAGCGTACCATAATGTAAACATACATTACAAATAAATGTACTTAATAGCACTCCTTACATTTCATACAAAGGTAGCATCATAGAAAACGGACCCCAGTTTGTGGGGACACTAAACCATTCCAACTTAGTTTCTCTTCAGCTTCTCTCCCAAGAACTTGATAGTAATATCATGGATATAAGCGTTATCGAGGCGTGCATAGTCTGCAGCTTCTCTGACACTGTCGCCGAGCAACATGGGTACTGGGCTGCGGTCAAATGGAAAGCCCATAGCCCGGGTGTCGGGGTACTTGGCATCCTGAATCCCGCAGAAAGATACCGCGTTGGTACACCGTTGGGTAGTTCGTTGGACCACCTGTAGAGGGAGGAGGAATGTGTAGGGAGTGTGATGAAAACAAGGATGTGATGACGAAGATAACGATATGGTGGTGATATTAAGGGCATGGTAGTGAAGATAAGGGTACGGTGGTGAAGGTACGAATATAATGGTGAAGGTAAGGATATGAGTCTGAAGATGAGGATATGATATGAGTTTTAAGATAAGGATATAATGATGAGTTTGAGGAGAAGGATATGATATGAGTCTGAAGGTGAGGCTTTTATATGAGTCTGAAGGTGAGGCTTTTATATGAGTCTGAAGGTGAGGCTTTTATATGAGTCTGAAGGTGAGGCTTTTATATGAGTCTGAAGGTGAGGCTTTTATATGAGTCTGAAGGTGAGGCTTTTATATGAGTCTGAAGGTGAGGCTTTTATATGAGTCTGAAGGTGAGGCTTTTATATGAGTCTGAAGGTGAGGCTTTTATATGAGTCTGAAGGTGAGGCTTTTATATGAGTCTGAAGGTGAGGCTTTTATATGAGTCTGAAGGTGAGGCTTTTATATGAGTCTGAAGGTGAGGATTTTATATGAGTCTGAAGGTGAGGATTTTATATGAGTTTGAAGATAATGACAGTATAATGGAAATGAGAATGTGATGGCGAAGATAAAGATAGAAGTTTGAATACATAGATATGATGTTGGATGTAGTAGTGAAGATTAGGATAAGATGGTGAATATTATATAATGCTGCAGAGAAGATGATGTTGGTGATATGGATGTAATAATGGCGAAAATTAGGCCATAATGTTGAAGGTAATTGATATGATGGTGAAGAGAAGGGAAGATAAAGATATAGGGATGAAAATTAGGATACAAGGATGAATATAATGATATGGTACGAAGAAGGGATGTGGGGATGGAGATAGGGATATGAAGGTAATAACTACGATGTTGATTATGGTAATTATGTTAATAAGGATGATGAAACTGATACTAACAATAATAATGATAATGATAATTATGGTGGTAAAATGATTATGATGATAATAATTATGGTGGTAAAAATAATTATGATGATAATAATTATGGTGGTAAAATAATTATGATGTTAATAATTATGGTGGTAAAAATAATTATGATGATAATAATTATGGTGGTAAAAATAATTATGATGATAATAATTATGGTAGTAAAAATAATGATAATGATAATAATTATGGTGGTAAAAATAATAATGATAATAATTATGGTGGTAAAAATAATGATAATGTTAATAATTATGGTGGTAAAAATAATGATAATGATAATAATTATGGTGGTAGAAATAATGATCATGATAATAATAATAATAATGATGGTAGTAAGGATAACAATCACAAAACAATAACAACAGCAACAACAATACCAGTAGCTAATACAATTCATGTACACATTTATATTCACTTGGTAGTAGATAATATCAATAAATACCTTATCTTTGGCATAGTCCGTGAGCATGAAGAACAGCTGGAATGCCATGCCCTCGGGGCGACCGCGGGGGAGGAGCATATGCTGAGGCCACCCGCACCCGCAGAAGTTGAGGGGCGTGGCCTCTGGAGATTCTGTAAAGAGAGATGTAAGTGTGATTGCGAGTTTCCTTTCTTGTATTTTTTCTGCTTTGTTTATTTTATTATTATTATTATTATTTATTCTATTTATCTATTTAGTCCCTTTTTTTGGTTTGTAACGTTTGTTTTATTGTGTATTTTCTCTTTCTGTTTTTTTTTTAGGAGGGTCGTTTGCTTCCTCTGTCTGTCTGTTTGTTCTTCTCTCTTTCTCTGTCTCTTCCTCCCTCTCTCTTTCTTTCTCTTTTTCCTTTTTTTTTTGTTCTTTCCTCTCTCTTTCTCTCTCTCTCTCTCTCTCTCTCTCTCTCTCTCTCTCTCTCTCTCTCTCTCTCTCTCTCTCTCTCTCTCTCTCTCTCTCTCTCTCTCCCTCTCTCCCTCTCTCACTCTCTCTCTCTCTCTCTCTCTCTCTCTCTCTCTCTCTCTCTCTCTCTCTCTCTCTCTCTCTCTCTCTCTCTCTCTCTCTCTCTCTCTCTCTCTCTCTCTCTCTCTCTCTCCCTCTCTCTCTCTCTCTCTCTCTCTCTCTCTCACTCTCTCTCTCTCTCCTCTCTCTCTCTCTCTCTCTCTCTCTCTCTCTCTCTCTCTCTCTCTCTCTCTCTCTCTCTCTCTCTCTCTCTCTCCCTCTCTCCCTCTCTCTCTCTTTCTAAAAAGGTCACCTCGATCGATGTCCTCAAGTTCCCTGAAGGTCAGTTCCTCGGTGTTTGTGATGGACGAGTCCTTCGAAGACCTTACGATGTGATTATTCCCGGGCTTCACTGAAAAGATCATTTCATAGGACTTTCAGCAAGATTATAGATGGAATTATGGATGGGATGTTTTAAGGGTTAATAAAGTTGTGGAATAAGGATTGGATTTGTAAGGTTTAATAATTACGGAATAAGATTCAATTTTATAAGACCTGATAGAAAATCAGAGCATAAGACAACTCTATGTGACTTCATATTCACGAAAGGAGACTTGATCTTATTAGACGATAATAATAATGGATTTATAGTTGATTCCATAAGCCAATAGTAAGTCACGGAGTAAGATTTAATAATCATTGTAGTTTTCATTCAGTATGTATCAATATGTAGAACTTTGATTATTAAGGCGACTCTAAGAAAATGGCCCTCAACTTACAGGAAACGGTGAATTTGTCCATCTCGGCCCACAGGATGCGTTGTTCCATGAAGGACATTTTCTGGCCTCGAGCGTTGAACTTCGGGGCCAAGAACACCCTGACCGTAACGTCCTTCGTCCCTCTTTCATTGTTGCTAACCTGCAGAGAATCGACATGATAGAGGGGAAGTTTAGAGAGGGAGAAAGGGGAATGGAAAGGAGTGGGCGGAGAGAAGTGAATGAATAGGAAGAACTGATTTTTCGGGCGTAACTTACTTTACACGCAAGCAATGAAGTTTAGGTAATGGATGTATTGAGGTGAAATCACTCCTGCAAATGCATTTCTTTTCGTGACCTGAAAGTACACTCCTGTCACCTCACTTCACGTCAATATACTCACTCAGTGTCTTGTACCCAACGTGTCTCTGACCTTAGTGACCCCAGCTGTAATACCTTAGTTTCAACCTATGTGACCTTTGTGTGTTTTCTTAATTATGTAACATATCTCAAACTCAAATTAAATAACATCACAACCCCAGTATTCTCAAAACATAAACCTCGACACGCCAAAAGTATCTCGAAAAGGGTCATTCTAACTATCCTATAACATCATATCTTATTATATCGTATTATACCATATATACACCACTTAACGAGAACTTAAGACGTCTCTAAGCCTGACCTGCAAGTGGTAGTTGAAGGGCTCGTGGTCGAGGTGGGTGAGGCTCACCATGACAGACCGCCCGTTGAAGTCCAGACCGCGGCTGGCTTCGAAGAGCCGGGTGTTCCAGCCTGTGTGGAGGATGTCCGCCTCGTTGTTCCTGACGACGCCCGCGCGCTCGATCTTCACGCCCGGGAGATTAAGCTGGAAGAGGGAGAGGGTGTAATTATTTATATAAAAGAAAATTGTATGTTTCCTTTCGATCTGTGGGGATGTATAAATAAGATGTTTTTTAAATTCTGCGGGGATACATAAAAAACATTTAAAAATCTGCGAGGATTTATAAATAGGCATTACTCTTTCAATTCCGCGAGGATATATAAAAACATTTTTTTTCATTCTGTGGTGATAAATAAAAAGTATCTCCGCTTTTTATTGTGCGGGGATACATGAAAAGTATTTTTTTTCTTAAGCCTGCAGAAATCTACGAAAAAGGTATTCATTACATCTCATTCTGCAGGCATAATAAAAAAATACATTACGTAGATATATATATATAAAAAAACAGGCACATTTTCACTCTGCAGGGATATACAACAACAACAACAGCAAAAAAAACATTCACACACCCTATACTTCTCCCATTGCGAGGACACTCACAACCTCGTCAACCTAACCTACCAACCAAGCATGAGGTTCTCGTGAGGTCAAGTGCATGAACTCACCTCCTTCTCAGTGTATGGTTCCTGCATTAACTTGTACTCTTGGAAGGTGTCATCCACGAACTTGTGCCAGCGGTAGAAGACTGGGTCCCTCATGGCAGTCGCGGTGTCACCCATGACAGCCATTTCCTCCTGAGAAAATAATCATGGATCATGGGTGATATTTTGTTGTTAGATGCTTTGAGTCAGAAGTGCATTCCTCTTTTTTTTTTGTTAGTTCTTTTATTTATGTTTCCTTCTTTCTCCTCTTTTTTTTCTTTGTCTTTGTCTTTCTCTCTTTCTCTCTCTTTCTTTCTCTCTCTCTCTCTCTCTCTCTCTCTCTCTCTCTCTCTCTCTCTCTCTCTCTCTCTCTCTCTCTCTCTCTCTCTCTCTCCCTCTCTCCCTCTCTCCCTCTCTCTCTCTCTCTCTCTCTCTCTCTCTCTCT